GAATGGAGGCGAGTGCAGCTCTTCGGCATGCCGACTCGGGCTTGCCGGTGGGAGGAGGACGAGGCCGCAGCCACTGTTGGAGATTGTTTAGGCAGAGAAAAAAAGAATCGTGCCTTACTCGTTATTTACCGCAGCAGCTTCACTCGAACGGTCGAAGAGCTGGTCCAGACGATCTGGGCGGCATGTAGAGGCTCTGTATAAACCCGCGACGTCTGCTCGTTCTGCCAGAACGAAAGTACTGACTCCATTCACAACGCCAACAGGGTGATGAGGTGCCGGAGAGACGACAGGGCTGGTATAGGGGATTTGCATGTAAGTGTGCGTTGGAGCAAGATTCAATGTTGTGTAGAGTACATGTGTATATAGTGCCTTCTCTTTTAGGTCCAACGCATAAGCCTCGGTTCAGCCCTACCGGCGTCGAATGGCGCTAAGGAATCTACCGCGTCAGCGAGATTCAGGCGGGACCATTAAACACCCGAACATTGTCTTCCATATCTTACGCACCTTTACAGCAATGGCTAACATAATGGCAATTTCGCCTCTACGGGCACGACTCGCACTCAAGACCCAAGAAGCCTCCTTCATCTGCCGACGATGCCTGCACAACCAACCTAGCACAACCTTAAACTTCCGCCTTCTCCGGAACCAACGAGCAATACCATCAAGACCACCTAACAAACCTATTCCCCGCCACGCCCGACCCCAAACCACCACCGCGAACGCTCACAAACCTCCTTCCTCCCCCCTCGCAGCTCTCAGCCAAACAATCACCCGCCGCGCCTCTCCTACATCCGCCTCAAGAACCACTCCCCATCCCTCCTCCTCTTCTTTCCCCGCCACCTCCTCCAAGAGCGTAGCCTACTGGCTCCTCGCCTCCGCCACCAGCGTCTTCGGCATCGTCCTCTTCGGCGGCCTGACCCGCCTCACCGAATCCGGCCTCAGCATCACCGAATGGCGGCCCGTCACGGGATCCTTCCCTCCCCGGGACGAAAGCGCATGGGAAGAGGAGTTCGCGCGCTATAGACTGAGTCCGGAGTTCAAGATGCTGAACTCGCGCATGAATGTGGAGGAGTTCAAAAAGATCTACTGGATGGAGTGGACCCATCGGCTATGGGGGAGAGTGGTGGGCATTACTTTCCTGCTGCCTACGGTCTACTTCGTGGCGAGACGGAGAGTGAGTGCGCGGATGGCCATGAAGTTAGTAGGCATCTGCGGCTTGATCGGATTCCAAGGCGTGATAGGTTGGTGGATGGTCAAGAGCGGACTCAAAGACGATTTACTGGAGACGGGCACGCACCCCCGTGTCAGTCAGTACAGACTCGCTACCCACTTGGGAACGGCGTTCGTGGCGTATCTGGCTATGCTCTGGAATGGCCTCGAGATCCTGCGCGAGCACCGCTTACTCCGCGATCCGGAACAAGGGCTCAAACTCCTCGAGACGCTGCGGCATCCTTCGCTTCGGACTTTCCGGCGTTCTGTCGCTGGGCTCAGTGGCTTGATCTTCGTGACTGCGATTTCCGGCGCGCTGGTCGCGGGTCTGGATGCTGGGTTGGTGTATAACAATTTCCCTTGGATGGGGCAGAACATCTTGCCGCCGAGACGCGAGATGCTGGATCCGCTTTACTCACATACCCGCGATAATCGGGATCTGGTCTGGCGGAATATGTTCGAGAACCCCGTGCTTGCTCAATTGGATCACAGGATTCTGGCTACCACGACTTTCACGGCTGTTCTTGCTCTCTGGGCGTACAGCCGCTACAGTCCAGCCGTCCGACAACTCTTACCGAGAGCTGGCAGGATGGGGATGCTCGGTCTAGTACATCTCGTGAGTCTGCAAGTCATACTGGGGATCTCAACACTGTGGTATCTGGTGCCCACGCCGCTGGCTGCAGCACACCAGGCCGGTGCGCTGGCGCTGTTGAGTGGCGTTTTGGTGCTGGGGGGACGGGTGTGGGTTCCGCAGCGCACGATGAGGCTGGTGAGAAATGCTGTGGCGCAGGCGCAGGGACAGGCGCAAGGAAAGAGCGGGAGCTTAGTAGGGCAGAGGGGCCCGGATGCTATGATACGGGCGAAGATCGCGCGGCCGGTGTCTGCTTAAAGTTTCTGCGTAGTAGCGATGCTGTTTGTCGCGAGCATAGCGCAGGCGTCTGGGATATACACTCATAGATCACACGAACTCGGAGCACACTCGACTCTGCTGATGTATGAATAGTCTACCTTTGACTGAAGTAGCAGCAGTGCTACCCAGCCTCGACTCAAAAGCGAGATTGTTGACTCGCTTGGATGTACTTGTGGCAATGCGCGGCAGTCACAACGTCGGAGAAGGTGGCGGTTCGCTACCAAGAGTGGCATGGGGATTCTTCCTTCCCGCGACAAGGTCTCCGCGAGGTGGAGGTTCCCAGAACGCACCAAAGCTCTACTTGAAGCGCCACGCCGCCCCGCTCCGCCCCGCCCAGCCCCCTTTCCCTTTCCCTTTCCCTTTCCACCACGCCGCCGGCCCAACGCATACAGAGCAGCAGTTCGCTGTCAATGCACGTAACGACAAAACAAAAACATACAACAGCGGGGATTCACTTATGGTCACCCACTAAATTACTAGTCCGCCGGTTCGCAGCTTAAGTACAGGAGAGCGGACGGGATCCTCTGTTCTCTGCGGCCTGTGGTCGTATGTATTTACTTCGCTCATCTGGCTCCATTATCAAGGCTGTTGCAATGAAGCCGATATTGGGACCGGACGACTTTGCTGAGTCTGTACCTGTATTCAAGCGATCCCTTTACCCGATTGAGAGGCACGGCGCATAAATCCGCTTACGATACCAAAGCCACCATGGTGAACAGTTTCAGAGGCTTCGCACTGTCTGACAGTCATTAGAGCTCTCTTACATTAAGGCTCGCACTCGACGTGCGCTGCCCGATGGCCACGGTCAATGGCATACCTTGTTGAACACATGAGCAACCTCTGCCTCTGGGGACTCTTACAACTCAAGCTCTCTTGAGAAAACGGCGAAGAAGCTCGGAAGTCAGCATCACCGCGCATATCGACCGTGCTCGAATCATCAACCAGCAAGCGCTGCAGGCCATTTTCACCATGTCCGAAGACCAGACGCTCACCAATCCACCCATGGGCTTCTTCAATCTCCCCGCCGAACTCCGCAACCACATCTACGAGCTCGCACTCGTGCTCAGTGACGGCGTTCTGCCAACCAAGAACGAGAACGAGAACGGCGCTCCCGCGACAGCTCTACTCGCCGCTTGCCCTCGAATCCGAAGTGAAGCAGAGCAGATATACTGGCGGCAGAACACATTCCACTTCAACCTCAATACCGAGGACCTCCTCGCTGGCGCACCCGAAGCCTCGCGCTGGATGTCCGGTATTGCAAGAACACTCTGCTCATATTTCGATCCAACACCCTGCTTCATACAGCTGGACAGATTACCCTCTCCACTTTCCAGACTCGTTCACAAGCTGGACCTACTCCTCCAGGAATGGCTTAGACGCTCGAGACTCACTCGTGGATACTGGACTTCACTCGGTTTCGCTATGCACTTGGACCAGATTGACTATTCTCAGTACTACTATTCCGTCTCTTCGTGCTCGCGTTACTCCCATCAGCAACTTCGTCTTCTGGATACACAACACTGACCCAGCATATCGAGAGTGCGCGGGGCCTTTTGTAGTCATAGTTCCAGATTCGCAATACCCCGAGGTGATCAACTTCTCCGCCATTCACGTGAAGGGAGAAGTCAAGGGAATACATTATACCAGCCAGTAGATCAGTGACGGAATTAATCGAAAGGTCTCATATGCTCATCGGAGTACTGGACTACATCTTCGCTTTCTCATACCGAAGAAGTTCTGCGACTGCATTATTTCCCTCAAGCTCTGCCACTTCAAGCGCCGTGTTTCCACGAGAGTCGCGAACAGAAACGTCCGCACCATTTCGAAGTAGTATCTTGACAGCGCTCGTACGTCCTGCCCTCGCAGCCTCATGAAGGGCAGTACCTAAGCCTACCACCTTGCGTACTTCATATGAGAAAGCATGGTCTTCGTACATTGTGGCATTGATGTCAGGTTCACACCGGTCAATGACAAGCTGTAGAATCTCGTCACAGTCGTCCGCCATCCGCCGTGCTGCTGCCCAATGAAGCAATTGTCCTTGATATGATGTGGCGGAGGGGCAGTGTGCGAAGAGCCGTTTCACGATGAAGAGTGGAGCTTCTGCGACAGCGCTCGAGAGGGGCGTAATATCCATCTGACAGGGCGTATTTGGGTCGGCTCCGTTGCATAGAAACCACGAAATGAGCGGTTCGTCGGCTTGGGTGGTTATTGCAAACCTGCGGACTTGGTCAACGACGATCACTGGGACACCTAGGGAGGGACTCACGAAAGCAACGCAGGAATACACCACGCCTCTTCTTCGTTGATGTTCCATCCATTTCCTAGAAAAAGCGAAAGGAGTGGTATCGACTTGTTTGCGATGGCAATTTTAACGACTTCCAGACTGATAGGCACGCCGGCAGACAGGAGCGTCTGTACCAGGTCCTCGTTCCCAGACTGAACAGCTCCCATGAGACAGACTAGGAGATCTTGAGCTGGGGTGCCTGCTTGGAGTAGTTGTCTGATGCTCAGTGACG